ATCCCCTGCCCCTGTCTGTGCATCCCCTGCTGCTGGAGAGAGTCAATGTGGTAAAAGTCTATTATTCATGGATCAATTTTCCAGGATATTTAGAGTATGGTTTCTTTTCATCTTTTTGCTGCCTGCTCTTTAGCCACTACTCTCTAGTCTTCACCAGAGGCAACAAAAAGTAGTTAAAATTCACACAGGTCTGACTTTTACTTCTTCATAACTTTGATAAGCGGTAAGTGAGGAAATGAAACAAGAACACACCAGGTGGGTTTGCTGGGGAACTCAACAGATCCACACCCAGTGCTCTGAGCTGGATTAAGGGGCATAGAAGCTAGGCAGAGTCTGGGGTGCCAGTAAAGATGGGATCTAAATGTGAACCATAAAATGAGAGATGGAACATTACAAAGAGCAGCCTGTGGAGGGAGGGAGACACCCAAGACTGAGTATGATTAAATAATGACAGAGGGTCACTAGTAGCATTTCCAAAGGAAGTTAGGTTGTGCTATTCCCAATATATTTGACACTTTTTTCATGGCTCAAGTATGTACATGCCCCATACTATGTGCCACAAGGAAGCTCACCCTCATGGAGCTTCCTGTGGTCAGAATGCCGGGGTAAAGCCTGTGTTTAAAAAAAAAAAAAAAAGAATAGTACTGTGCCATGAAGCTGTCCTCCAAATCTCAGAAATGAAATAAAGACAAATTAAAATGTAAGGAATACTGTCATTCGGAAAAATAATTAGGCATGTGTAAAGAGCTTCAAAGTGTTCATATTCTATGTAACAACTCCAGCTCTAGGAAAATAACCTCAAATGCAAATACAGTTTTACGTAGAATTTTTATAGATCTCTAAAATCAATAAGATCAATATACAAAGATGTATGTTGCATCATTACTTATAACCGTGAAAATCTTGAAGCAGTATGTGTCTAACAGCAGCAGCATGGTTAAGTAAATTTTGGTGTAACTAGAATATGAGGTTGTCTTTAAAGATGATGTTTCTATAAGATTTTAAGGAAAATGTGTTTGCTATCATAAGGAGTAAAAAAAAGCAATTTTACAGTGAAGTCTCAGCTATGTGAACCAAAGTGGAAAGAAAAATATGCTAAAATATTAGCAGTTGATATTTACGGATTGAACTATGCATGTTTTTTATTGTATCCTCTGAATCTGCAGAGTCACATGGGCAGCCATAAGCCATATGTGGCTATATAAATTGAAATTAATTAAAATGAAATTAAAAATCCAGGTCTTCACTTGAACCAACCACATTTCAAGCTCTTAAAAAGTCTCATGGAGCTAGTGGCTACTGTATTTGACAGTACGATACAGAACACTTCCATCATTATATAAAGTTCTATTGGGCAGGCACTGCTCCAGAGTGTTCTCTAATTAGAGTTTCTCTAATTTTCGATAAAGACCATGAGCTATTTTTATAATCAGAAAAAAAGAATAACAAAGTCAAGCTAAGATGACTTGACTGTAGAAAACCCAAGAAATTATTTGAGGAATGGCAAAACAGAATCAAGGTGAACTTGTATTTTAAGGAAGCAGTGACTTTAATGAGAGAAATTCAATACAATCAATAATATTGTTCTCAACTTAAGTACAGGAAAGGTATATTAACTGGGAGAGGAAGGGTCCACATATGACCCAGAAAAAAGGAGCTCAAAGAGGTAGGATTGGCCAATGTGCCCCAGGATGGTTGTCGTGGCAGGGAGAGAACCCTACGATATGGGTTTATGCTTCAGACAACAACAATTCAACAGCTCCAGTAAAAGGTTATCCAGCAAACCCTCTTGTTGGCTCCCACTCTCAACCTGATGCCCCAGACTTTAGAGGCTGCTAATGTCCACTGACACCTGCATCTCCTCTCCTAAAATAGCTAAACAAGTGTCCTGGATACTTCTTGCCTCTTGGTGGGAACATTTGACTCATCTGAACAATGGGTGGGAGCAGGCAGGACGCACATCACCTTCAGTTCTTGTCAAAAAAAGATCTACATAATCTTCCATGCCCTTGCTTTCTCTGCTTTCTGTGCGTCTATTGGAGAAGGACTCCAAGAGGATAGAACCACAGAATGAAATAAGCCCTAGTCCCTGAGTTTCTGTTTGGAGATCCATGAGAGCTGCCAGAATGGAAATATCTGCAATGGATTTGGGGCAAGAAATAAAGCTTTGCTGGGCTACCCCAGGGAAATTTGGGGGTTTGTGATATAGTAGCAGTGGTACTTATTCTAACATATAAACTCTAATTTGATCTTCTATGCAGAATGTGTTAATGCAGCAGGTCTGGTGACTTAAACGTTGCATGCTTTTAGGGGAGCCTAGAACCATGACTGACCTTCAGCCAATCTCCAAGAATGTGACCCTTGGAATATTCTTTATGTTACTGACGGATGATGTTGTTTTGTGCTCCAAAAGCAATGGGTGGTCATGGGGCTCCCCAAATACCTCCCACCTGTGGGAGGTACAGGCTCCAGTGTGGAATGAAAAAGCCATGGGGATGAAAGGCACAGCATAGGGAACAGTCAGTGGTATTGTAATAGTGTTGTAGGGTCACAGAGGGCAGCTACACTTGTGGTGAGCACAGCATAACACAGAGACTTGTGGAATCACTATGCTGTACACCTCAAACTAGCATTTTGTGTCAACTAACACTTCAATTAAAAAAAAGAAAAAACAAACAAAAAAACTAAACAAAACCTGAAAAACAAAATAACTCCCACATTAAGATCTTTCTCCAGGAAAATGGAGCACAAATTGTCCAGAATAAGTATGCTTTTTATCTGGCACTTGTATATCTTACTACCATCTATTGCCATTCTAGCACAGACATCAAACTCCTGTGAATTTGGTTGATGTGAGTCCCTTCATAAGTGCCTGACTGACAACAATGTCACTCATAAAATCCTTCGGAACATTATCTGGAACCCTGTGACCACCTAATGGATGATGTCCTTTCAGTGGCCAACATGGAGGGCATTTCTTCAGTGTCTCTCTTATATGCATCACTTAAGAAGATGAAACAAATTCAAGATTTAGGACAAGGGCCATGAGTGAGATAGAAAGAAAGGCTATGGAGAGAGGCCCCATTTGGTGGTGGTGATGGGGAGGGTCCAGAGAGGAATTCTGAATGAGACACACCTGGAAGAAGGGACATCATTTCCAATGGGAGAATGAATGTGTGCCTCTGAGGCAGAGTAGTCTGCCTCTGAAGGAGATCACCTTCAGGGACAATGACTCTGAGGGGCACTGGCCTGGCTCTCTGTAATGTCTGAGACAGCAAGTAGTCTGGGAGGGATGAGGTTTAGAGTGCACTATTGGGGGCTATTGAAGAACTGGCCTTCCTGGTGGATATCTGTTTACATTACAGTTAGCCAAGGCTAAGGGGTCCTTATACCTTAGGGCAGGATTAAAACTCATGCTGCTGAATCTCTCATAAAAGTCATCAAAAACATCATTTTCTAAATCCATATTGTCATGGAAGTTTGAATATCATCATTTTTTTATTGTCTGATGAGCACCCACATGATCTGTCCCTGCCTAGCCTCCTAACTGCCTGTCAAACCATGGGACCCTCCCCTATGCTCACTCTACTCCACTTACACTGGACTTGCTTCTGTCTCTCCAACATGCCAAGTGCATCTCTGCCTCAGGGCCTTTGCACTGGCTGTTCCTTCTGCCTGGAATGCTCCACACTGCCCCAATATCCCCCTGGCTGGTTCTCTCTAGTTATTCAGATTTCATGTCATAGTTACCTCCTGAAAGCAGCTTCCCCCCCCCAGGGAATGTGGCCTCTCTCACCATGTCATTACCCAATTTCACTGACAACAGAGCAGAGATCTTCACTCCTTAGAACATATTCTGCTTCTTTCCATCTTCTTGTGCTTATCTTTACCCTCTGGTGAAATTTCTCAGGCAGTGGGTAACTTCAGATGAACCAAAAACACGTGGACTGTCTGCATGGATTTCAATTTCATTGCAACTGTCTGGATACCTTCCCTGGTTGAAACAGCCATTTGTCAAGCAGCTTGGAAGACAACCGTCATCTGATAAAATGAGCCACAGTATTTTCTATAGGATATAGCATTGCTTAACAACAAATTGTGCAGATAGACTAAGGTAATGCTCGGCAGCACATCTGGAGAAACACCAGCAGTGAGTTGGGTCTAACAAATCTGGAGGCATGTTACTCTTTTATTCCCATGTCTAGGCAAAAATCTCCCAACTGCAATTTCTTCCTCAGTCCTTGGATAATGAGTGTCTGGGACAGAGTTGCCATTAGCGGAGGGCAAACATTTTAACAAATTGGGAAAGAGAGCTAGACCCTCCGTGTCACTCACCTGTAAATCCACCTGAAGTCACAATCAGCTTAGCCTTGAGAAAAAGCATGGAGGCCATCTTCACGGGGTCTGTCGCCAGACCCCTGGTAGGGGGGTCATCTTGTATTTTGTATCCCTTCCTCCATGAATGAAATTATTTTTCCCACAAAGCAAACACACTAGACAGGGGGTGGCAGAGGATGGCCCATGGGCCAAATCTGGTCAGCCTCCTATTTTTGCGTGGCCCATGAGTTAAGAATGATTTTTGTATTTTTCCATGGTTGAAAAGAATGAAAAGAATCCTATACCATAGATCATGACATGTAAAAATTATATGGAATTCAAATTTCAGTTTCTATACATAAAGTTGTATTGAAACAGCCATGCTCACTCATTTGCACATTGTCTATGGCTGCTTTCAGGCTACAGCTGCGGAGGTGGGTTGTTGTGACAGAGACCATCTGGCCCACAAAGCCTAAAGTGTTACTATCTGGCCCTTCCCAGAAGAAGTTTGCCAACCCTGTACTTGAGTCCTGAATGTTCCCGCAAGCCTGGTTTTGGAAGGACTTTGATGAGGAAGAGTTTGTTTGCCTCCCAGCATTAGTATTTCCTCATCTCCTTTGCCCTGAAAACAGAGTCTGCAGAGCCCAAGATTTAAAGAGAAATCACAGGGGAAACCCACTTACGTAGGATCCATAATCCACAGCCAGAGTCTGCAGGGCCCATGGGAGACCAAGGCCGATGAGGATATCAAACACGTTGCTCCCAATAGAGTTGGACACGGCCATGTCTCCCATGCCTGCAAGGACAAGAGGTCAACTTGAATGAGGGAGGTTGATCTCAGGATAGTACAGGGGCTCCCCAAGGCACTCTCCTAACCCTTTGGTCTGACAGCCAGAGACTTAGCTGGCAGGTCTGTTGGCTCATTTGCTAAGGTGGTTCCCTCCCAAGCTACCGCCTGTATTTTCAATAGAATATGTATTTTCAGTAGAAAGGAATGGAAAAGAACAGAACAGACTAGAACAAAATGCACATTCTGACCTTCAGAAGGTCTGTTGACCTTCAAACATGATCACTGGCGAAATGTGAATGATTCCAAAAACCAAATATAGTTCCCCAAATTCTGAAACTTCCTTCTAGAAAGGAATAAACTTGACAGTTCTATTAAGCCTTTCATGAGCTCACCGTGAAACTGATATATTTTAGTACCATCGCCCAACTGCTCTACACTGTCTTCAATTCTTTTTCTAAATAATTGAGCACTATTAAGAAAAATAATATAACCAGTAGAATTTCGTGAGGACTTTTAGGGGAACACTATGCTAAGTGTTGTAGTTACACATTGTGTTTGTTGAAAACAAATGCAATCTAGCACAAATCAGGCATATAAATTAGAGTGGGTGCTAGCAAAGGGCATGGCCATCTGGAAGGGGTGTCCATCTGTGAGCTTGGATTTGAAGGAGGGGAGGCTGTGCCATATACTGAGGACTGACCTGTGGTAACCACCACTGTTGGGGTACTGCAGCTGGGTAGACCTTAGGCTATGGGGTCTGTCTTTTCTAAGCCTTGGTTTCCCTACCCATAGAATGGGGGTCTGATTTTCCCCACCCCACAGAGTTGTTTAAATTAAATAAGATAACGTATCTAAACTGCTTTGCTCAGTGTGTGGCACTCAGCAAAGATTAGCTCTCGTTACGTAAGTATTTATTACTTCTCCAGAAGGGCCTCTGCATGCTACCTAGAAAATGTCTCTGCCTTTCTTAAGGGTAGATCTTCTGGCTTGTTTCCCTGTTCTTTTGATGCCAGTTAGCTTTTTGACCAACACAGCACTGAAGTCACCCATCACCCTGGTAATTGCCATGTGGATCCCCCAAAGCTCCCCTCACCCATAGGCCTTCCTCCCTCCCCCATCCCTGTCACCATCTAACTGGAGGTCCCACCTTGTCTGGCGACGATGAGGCTGGCCATGCAATCGGGCACACTGGTTCCAGCTGCCAGGAAGGTAATCCCCATGATGACATCAGGAATCCCCAGTGTGTATCCAATGATTGTGACCTGGAAGAAGCAGGAAGAGGTGGTGAGTCGGGGGCTGATGCCAACCTGACACATCAGTGGATCCTCTGCCCAAGAAGCACAAAAGGCTACAATCTGGGTGGTCTGCTCAGGGGGCAATGTCTGCTCTCATTGTCAATGTAGAGGGCAAAGAACATCTCGCAGAGCAGACCAGGACTGCAGGTCTGGGGACCAGGGTGCAATTATGGAGTCCATGTTTTCCAACCAAAGATTGGCATTTTATACATGTTCCTTTCAGGTGAGGCAGGAGGACTGAGAGAGGAGAAACAGTTTCTGGGAAAAGGTGATTTTGGGACAGAATATTTGAACTTAGGATGGTCCCGGGAAATACAGAATGGAAAAGTACGGTCATAAATGGGCAATGCATTCTGGATGATTGTGTTTCCTAAAATGGCTTTTGGGCAGAGGCTCTTTTGAGCCATAACCCCACAACCAATGCCAGTCCTTGAATCCTTGTTTTAGCTTCAGAAAGGACCCTTGAGTGGTCACCTGGTCCAATGACCTTATTTTCTGGTTGACAAAACTGTGACTCAGTTAGAGGAAGTGACAATGACAGCTAGGATTATTACTCCCCAATTCCTCCCGTTTTTCCTTCATGCTCTTTGCCCTGTGGCTTTGCCACGCTAGAGCAGGTGGGGTATATTTCCCCCACTCCATTGATATTGGGCAGAGTCACAGGCCAAGGCCCTAGGAGGCACAGCATGTTTCCACTGGCCTTCTATTATTCCAACAATCTGCCATGAGAAGAGCATTCCCCAGGTAGCCATGGGTCCAAGGAAAATGAGCAAATGTAAGGGGTAGGCATGAAACCCATCTGCTGCCTGAATCACACATAACCATGCTGTGGCTTGAAGCAGAACTGCTCAGTCAGTGCCAGCTAAGATTAGTCAAACCATGCTCAACCTGCAGATATGTGAGCAAGAGGGAACTTCTTGTGATTCTAAACCACTGAGTTTAGGGGTGGTTTGTTATGCAGCTTATTGAGGTATTTGCTGACTGATACAGTTACTGGGCTGAAACCCCACCTCCTATTCCCCTCTGACTGAGCATATTTTTCTCTCTAAAGAGGTCTAGCAATGCTGTGGGGTCCTCCGTACACTCACCATCCACACCATCATGTAGGAGAAGGCTGCTATCCACAACGTGGAAGAAGCAAATGTCACCATAAACCATTTTTCCCAGCGGGGTTTGTTGCAGTTGGGTACAGTGAAGTATAAAACAAAACTCAGTGGCCAGGTGAACGCCCACTTCACTGTTTCCAGTTTTCCAGCTGGGAAAAGAAAAAAAGATAAAAACAAAAATTAGTTTCATTTCTCTGTTTTACCAGCCCTCCATGCTACTTGCCTCAGACATTTACATCCTAATTGATGACCTGTGAAATCAGCCTTATTATGTTGTTCTTTTCATAAAAAACACAAACAGCTTTCCACCACCAACAAAACCTGGCATACAAAACCAAGCAGAATAAAAACAGTTATCCACCGCTCACCTGCTAGTTAGGCACCCAAATGACAGATGAGGCCCTTCTGAGGATACATGCCATGTGATTTTCTTTATTTGAAGGTGGATAACAGGAAAAACTAATCTATGGTGGTAGAGGGTGGAAGGTTGACTGGAAAGAGGCTCGAGGAACTTTCTGGAAGGCAGAGATGTTCTTTATTGAAGCAGAGAGTGTATACGATACATATTTCTTACCAGAGGTGTTAGCAATTAAGCAGGATGGTAATAAAGGCTAAAGGAGAATTGATAGGTTTGTCAAATCTGAGGTTACAAGGAACTCATGGCAACAAAGTCACCAAAATAAGCATTTATGGATATCTCTGAAACATGGCCCTCAGGCAACACAGAGATGATAGGATCAGGTCATCACTAGCCAGTCCATCACCTCGTCCGTGGCAGCAGGTATTTAGAGAGCCAGAAATCAATGATTAATTTGCAAGTTCACATCAGCTTGAGATACAAACCCCACCTTGAGAGCTTTCAAATCATCTCTCAGGATTTCGTGAGTTGACAATGTTGAGCAATTCCACTAGATGGCGCTGTGACCACTGACACCTTATAATCCGGCAAGATTTTATCTACCCATGGGGAGAACAGACCCCAGGCCAACTGGTGGTCTTCCAGCTCCCCTCCCCGACCTTCACCTGCACCCCACCCCCACTCCCCACCCTTTGTGTCTGAGAATCTTCCTCATCCTGTCCCACCTGGCCCCATGCACCAACCATCCTCCCAGCCCTGTATCCTCAGAAGTGCCTCATCAGTCATTTGGGTGCCTAACTAGCAGGTGAGCGGTGGATAACTGTTTTTATTCTGCTTGGTTTTGTACACCAGGTTTTGTTGCTGGTGGAAAGCTGTTTGAGTTGTTGCCAGTTTTCAGGTATTACAACTAAAGGGGCTATGAGCATTCTTGTACACTCAAAAAACATGTTGACTAAAGGAACATAATTGACTAAAATCACATGCCATTCGTGTCTTTTAGTCAATTACGTTCCTTTAGTGAACATGTTTTTTGAGATCCATTCGTGTGTCAGGAATTCATTCTTAATTGCTGTGTAGTTTTCCATCCTACGAATACACAATTTATCCATTCTCCTGTGGACGGGAATTTGAGTTGTTGCCAATTTTCAGGTATTACAACTAAAGGGGCTATGAGCATTCTTGTACACTTTGTTTTGTGGGCATGTTTTTTTTTTCTCTTGGGCGAAGACCCAGGAGTAGAATTGCTGAGTCACAGGGTGGGTGTTTATTTAACTTTGCAAGAAACTGTCGGGCAGTTTTCCAAAATGATTATCCCATTTTATATTCCCACCAGAGTGAAGGAGGTATTTTTTAAATTACACTTTGAACAGTGATTAATAAAATGTTAAATGAAATTTATTTCATAATTTTATGCCAGTATCTAGCACTTTTCCAATTAGCTGCTATGCAGATATGGAGCTGGGAACAGATGATGACAACATTGAGACTGTTTGGCTGGATTTCAAAGCAAGAAAGCTGTCAGAGGTTTTTCATGAGGGGCTTCCAGATGCTGTGGACTCCAGCGTATCGTCAGACCCTTGGATCCCAAAGGCATCCTGGAATTCTTCGTGCTCCTAAATCCTGTAGTGTGGTGATGTCATTTATCCACCTGGGGCTCTGGGGACCCCCTCACTGGCCTTGCAGTCTTCCTAATGCCCTCACACAGAGAGACTGGTCCAGCTTCAAAACACACACCCAATCAAAGTTACAAAGACACAAATGGGAAGAGAAATGACTGCAATCTGGCTCTTTGTAATTCCTCAGAAAATTAAAAAAAAAATGAAATCAGAACTTGAGACTGTGGCAGCTTAGAAAATGATACTGAGTACAAAGGTAATGCAAGCAGTACATTTGGCACAAGTGAATTTTGAGTTTTTTCTCGGCTGCTTTAGAAAATTCTGACTTGACCCTGAGGGACCTTATATCTAGAAAACAGTTCTCTCCATTTCATGATATAGATGCTTTCTCTAAGTTACAGCTCCACTGTAACAACAAACTTACAGTAGAAATTTAATCGGTATCATCTGGAAGGTAACTTTAAATGTAATGTAACAAATATAACTCCTTGAGCAAACCAAGTGATACAGAAACGTGCTTTTATTTAAGTGATTTTGAGGAGCAGGGGTTAGATAAGGAACATACTTATGTTTTGGTGTGTTCTTTTCAGTCTTTTTTCCCCTGAAAGTGTGTTTACCTACATCCCCATGTAAATGTTTCTATTTCTGTTAGTCAACAGTAAGGCTTTCTTCATACAGGGCTAAGAATATATGTACAACTTATACTATGCATAGGTGCATATAATTTACATATATACTATGTAGATTTAGCCTCTACATATATTACATGCACATGGAAACACAGGGATGTTAATATATGTGCACATTCTAGCTGCCTTAAATTTCAGTTTCTGAATAAAGGGGTAAAATGGTTTCCTTTCCTCTTTGAGTCAACAGTATTTCTGGACATTTTCCCATCTTTTCTTCCATTGCTAGTGGTCCAGAGCCCCCCTCTGGCCCCCCAGGGGATAGGTTTAATCCTTCATTTAACAAATATTCATTGAAGGTCCTCCCCCCCGACGCCGCCAGTCTGTGCCAGGTCCTGCTCTGGGTACTGAGGACAGAGCAGTGAGCTGAGAAAACCAAACTCCCTGTGCATGAACCTGATGTACCCGTGATTATGTGATTTCCTGGAAGGCAGCCAGCAGCTGGGACATGCAGTGGGGACTCTGAGCGTTACAGTACAGTACCCCTTTGAGTGTGCCTTGGCTCTGAAAAGCAAAGGACCTGTTCTTAAGTTGTACTCCTTACTGAATTTTTAAAGAAGCTTACTTTTATTGAGAAGAAAAGATTATTGCTCATTCTTATGGACCTAGAGTTAAATATATCAATTTGTTCTAACTATATAGGCAATAAAAATGTAGTGTTTTAGAATGAAAAATGTAGAAAAAATAAAAAAGAAGTCCATCTAGGAGAAACACACTCATATTTTGGTATACTTCTTTTCAGTCTTTTTCTGTGGAAGTATGTTTGCCTATGTACACATGCAAACATTTCTTCCTTTTCTTTTTCTTTTTTAGAGGGAGAAAGAGTTCAAGCAGGGGGAAGGGAGATGGAGAGAGGGAGGGGGAGACAGAGAGAATCTTATCCATGCCCAGCATGGAGCCTGATGCAGGACTCGATCTCACGACCCTGAGATCATGACCTGAGTCGAAATCAAGAGTTGGACGCTTAACTGACTGAGCCACCCAGGCGTGCCCACATGTAAACATTTCTTTTTTTTCTTTTTTTAAAGTATCTTTTTTTTTTTAAGATTTTATTTATTTATTTGAGAGAGAGAATGAGATAGAGAGAGAGAGCATGAGAGGGGGAAGGGTCAGAAGGAGAAGCAGACTCCCTGCTGAGCAGGGAGCCCGACGCGGGACTCGATCCTGGGACTGCAGGATCATGACCTGAGCCGAAGGCAGTCGCTTAACCAACTGAGCCACCCAGGCGCCCACATGTAAACATTTCTATTTCTGTCAGTCAATAGTAAGGCTTTCTTCATGCAAGAGATAAGAATACATGTGCAATTTATATGTATATATATGTGCATACACACATACTATGCACAGGTGTATATTCAAATATATATTATATGAATTTTACCCCATACGTACATTATATGCACATATAAAAACACAGGTATGTTAATATCTGTGCATAAACCATAAAAGGATACAACTCAATACAAAAATGTATACACTGTATGAATAAACATGTTAATGTAAAGATGATAACCATACATGTGCACACTGCATATATGCACACACTTTTATTCATATATGTACATGCATGTGCACATAGATGCATGCACAATATATGTGTATACACATACATACATCCTATAAATGCCTATATTTACATACTTCCACATAATTACTTATTCATTACTTATACTCACTATAGTCAAGTCCTGGAGAGAAGAGAGCCCTACAGCTAAGTGACAGAAACAGAGAGCCATGGCCCTGCAAGGTTACCATGAGAGGGAAAAATGTCCTCATCATGTGCGCAAAGCTTTTTCAGGCCAAAGGAACTTAGTGCAGAGGAACCAGATGTGGGGCTCCCACTGGGACTGGGTCCTTCCCGCTCCTTGAGTGGCCTCTGCTGGCTGGCTCAGTGCTGTGAGGGGTCTGCCTGCCCTAGGGGGTGCTTGTTGGACACACAGCCCACGAGCCTCAGATGGAAGTTCCTGAGTCCCAGAATGGGGTTTGGCTTTGGTGGTGGGAGGGAACAGAGGATCATAACTGGACAAACCCACTCTCCAGTTCAGAGGCAGCACCTGGCTCCGAATGAGGCTCCCCTAAGGCTCAGGAGAACGGTGAAGATCACTGGTGTGACTCCAGGGTGCTACACCCGCACTGCCTCAGGTGTGGCCCGCCAACAACCAGCACCAGTGTCACCTGGGGGCTTGTGATAAATGCAGAATCTGGGGCCCCCCACCAGACTTCCTGAATCAGAGCCTGCATTTTATCAAGGATGCCCAGGTGACAGGGCTGGTCTAGAAGAACTTGGGGTTCCACCTCCTTTCTCGGCAGCTCGGGGCCCTGGAATGAAGCAGAGACCCCCAGGACTGGCAGGACCATGCAGAGCATCCTTTCTCCTCTCATGCCTGACATTCCAAAGGAGGCAGGGTGCCTGGGCAGGGGGTTTCTGAGCCCACACCTGCAGCCATATCTCTTAGCACACAAGGAGACAAGATGATGCGGCTGGACGCCCCGGGGCCGCCTCATCTGCAGCTAACCACAGAGTTGTGGAGGGGAGGTGAGCAACAGTTAGAAGATAGCTTGAAACTTCACAGTTAGGTCTGGCGTTTATCCCATTCAGGTGAGAAAAAGGAAGTGACCTGAAAGGGGCCCTTTTGTCCCACTAAGTAATGAGATCTGGTGGGAGTCAGAGGAGTTGTCTGGTGTCACACACACGTCTTTGGTCGTCCGCCTGGAGGGGTGTACATGGGGCTTTGGGGCTTCTGGGGGGCCAACACTTGCCCCTTACAGACTCTTCACCTGGTCCGAGAGTTTCTTTCATCAGTGAAGGACTTTAGCAAAATAGGCGTTTTTGGAGCTTGGTTATGGGCTGCCAATGGTGAGCTCTGAAAGCAAAGGCCAGCCTAGGCAGAATTTTAGATGTGGGCCCCCAAGAGTCTGTGCCCGATTCTCAGAACCTGTGAAGAGGAGGCTGAGCTACCGTTCCACGACTGCTCTGCTGTGTGGCACCACAGACCTCCTCATGGGGAGGTTACGCACTCAGAAGCACAAGTGGAAACCCAAGAGACCAGAAGTGTGAGAAGGACCCAAAGCACCATTGCTGATTGAAGAATGCAGGCCTCCAGGAGCAGTGAGCAGCCCCCTGCTGACAGGCAGCAAGGAAACAGGACTGAGCCGTCCAACCACAGGGAACCGGATTTTGCCAATAATCTGCAAGTGTTTGGTAGTGATTCTCCCGAGGGCCTCTGGGAAGGTCTACAGCCCTGTCTACACTCTCATATGGTCTTTGGAGCCTCTGAAACCCAGCCAGGCTGTGCTGGACTTCTGACCTACAGAACTGGGGGCTAATCAACGGGTGTTGTTTTAATCCGCTCAATTTGCAGTAATTTGTTCTACAGCAGTAGAAAATGAACACAAAAGTTCATAAGGGGGATACAGAGAGCCTGGTTGCTTAATCCTGAAATGTTTTTGTCTTGTTGATAGGGAAGAAGGTTGCCAAGAAATAGAGTCAAAGATGGCAAAATGGATAAAGAGCCAGCATGCTTTTTTTCTATCCAGATAAGCTTCTAACAAGTAATGATTTAACTCTGGCTGGGTGGTTTGGGACTTTGGGGTATAGGATCTGAGTGGATATTCTCTAGTTAGTTTTGGGAAGCACTTGATGAGGTTGAGATCTGAGGGGCCCTGAGGGGACACAGGAGCAGTTCTGATCCTAGTTTTACTTGCTATCCCCTGGAACACAGAAAGGCCTTACATCTGAAATTAACACAGAACTCTGGCACTCCACACCCACATCCTATCATTAAATGACCTTTCAAGTGGGTCAAGTAATACTTCCCCAGAACTCACAGGTCTCCTGTAATTTTAAACATCCTTGAGAAGTCACACACTTATTAATTAAGCCTCTCACACTTGACCAGGGTGCTTTCCTAAAGCAGCCGGAAACTTCTGGAAGGTCTAGCAAATAGGCAGAAGGCTTTGGACTTGGTCTACCCATTCCACTAATGGGTGGGGTCAGGGGACAAGGTCTCTGCAATGGCCAAGTCATTGTTGGGTAGCAGTCAGGGGAGGACGCTGCTTTGGTGGCTGGGGTCCTGAAAACTATATATGCCTGTGCTTCCCCTTCAAGATACCAGGGAGATGGCCTTGGCCAGCCTCACTGTGTGAGACTTAGCTGGGGCCAGGAAGCTTTTTGCCCAGGTCTATCTCCTGTGGTGTCTGTCCTGGAAACAAGCAAGTTATAGGAGAGGAGAAAACTGAATGGGGTGTGGGGGGTAAAGGGCAAGAAGTGAGCAGGAAAACAAAGGCCAACTGGGAAGTCTGCATGTTTCCCCCTAGGGTGGCCTTGGCAGGACAGCTCCTCTGGCCAAATGTAATGGGATGGGTGAAGATGGGTGAAGTGTCTCTTCCCTTGAGCACCAAGCTGCCTTCCCAACATGTGTCAAGTGCATTTCCTCCTTAGCACCAAAAGGTCCCACAGAACAGCTAAGCTAAGCTAAGGGTCTTCCTTCACAAAGTGCCAACAAATTATACATTTGGTCAAAGAACCCACATTTCAACCAGTGATCGTGTGTTCCCATCTTGTTCATCTCTGGACCCTCTAAAACAGAGTCTTGCCCACTGTAGAAGTTAATATAAATACTTCTATGTTCATATAGAGATAGTTCTTTGAATTGAATGTCAAAAAGATCACCAAAGTCAAGGGCATCTACTCAGTGGCCTCAAAATAGCTCCCAACCCCAGCCTAGACATAGGACCTCTTACAGGGGAGGTCGAATGGCGTGTACGGTCCTTCGTCATCATCCTCATCCTCCTCTTCCTCTTCGTCATTCTCGTTGTTCTCATTGTCCTCATTCTCATTCTCTGTCTCGTTACCAGCCTCGGCCACAACATCATCCCTCCGAGTCCCATTCACGCCTCTGTCTGGGGCACTGCTGGGCCCTGTCCCATTCTCCACGGTGTGCTTAATTGGGATTTTGATGGCCACCTCGGATTCTCCATTGGCATAGGCCCTACTGTTTATCAGTCTTTGTCTCTGGAAAGAGAAAGGCACATTCTTACCACAGTCAGGGGGACTCTAGATCCTTACACCCAGAACACCGGGATCTTTTTCAGGCAGCTGACAAAAATGATTCTTCCAGGAGATTCTGCAGAGAAGTCTTAAGGGATTCCTCAAAGTAATAAGCAACTCAGACAACATCCTTCCAGGAGGAAGGATTAACCTTTTATGACCCACTGGAGCTTGCAAATCCCTTTAGAGGAAATTTCCTATGTCTCAGAGGCACCCTTCTTTTCTACCAGCGTTCTTGATTCCCTGTGCACTGCAGTATTATCTTTCTTCTCCAGACTGTAGGAATCCCTTGGACCATAGGTGAGAAAGCCACACAAATGTGTCTGGACTAGTGTATCAATAAGGCTGCCACTCCAGAAAAAGGGATACACAGGAAAATTCACGTCAGAGACTGCATTACTTTAAAGGTAAGGCAACCTTGATTTAGCAAGTACTTCTGTGCAAGTTCACATCAGAGGGCTTCACCCAAATGGAAGATGAGAAGAAAAAGGTAGGTAGAAGGGGACAGGAGAGTTTTTCTATATAACTGGGAGCCTGATCATGTCTTCCAACACATGGAGGGAAGAGCAAGAACCAGGATGCACAGCTGGCCCCATGAACAAAGATGCTGGGAAATAGCTGAGGGATATTATTGTGTTACATGTTGAGCTTGGTATTTCTACTCTCAGACCAAGAAACTTTCTCCCCTTCCCAAAGTCTCCCATCACTGTCCAGTGGCAATGGAGTGTGCTTTCCCAGATACCTCATTGATCAACATGCGACTGGCCATGGAGAGTCGGGTCTTGGGGGGAAAGTGGCTGGTGATCATAATTCGAAGTCCAGCCTCAGAGAAAGAAAGCTGGTGAGGGTAGGCTGACAGCAGCTCGTCTACCATAATCACTGACGCTTTGCGGTGGAAATTGGCTAGGGAAATAAAAAACACAAAATAAGGATAACATTGAGGTTAGGAGCAGAAAAGAGATATTTATTTAGTCTTCTCTCCGTTCCTCCCTCACCTCTCTCTCCCACTTTCCTGTTTACTCATTTATCCATCCATCCATCCATCCATCCATCCACCCACCCAAGGAGGGTTGTAGTGCACAAAATATGGAGAAGAGTCGAACTCTTCTTTCCATGAAGCTCATTGATAGCTCTTTTGAAATGACTTGAAACAATATAAGCATCATTCACTGGCATGGTAAGAAAGAGTGATAACCTAAGAGAATTCCTCTGTGTCCTCAAAGGGTTTTTTTCCCACCACTCAGACCTGGGGCACAGGAAAGACCCCAATAATTTTAGTAACCCTTTATGCCTTTCAAATGTCAACAACGTTCAAAGTTCTGAGCTGTTAAAAGCTGCAGAAATGACTAGTGCCAAGTGGAGGGCTTAGTGGGGAAAAGCGCACATTGCTGCAGCCCAGCCTATGAGTAAGGCTGACAAAGGGGCAGGTAGGTGAACTGGCCACATGACAGAGGCCCAAGGTCCAGAGTGGCCCAAATTATTACACAACATTTGCTGGAAGGCCTGATGAATAAGGTCTAAGGCCCCTCTCTACAAAAATGTGATATGAGCACACAGCTCACAGGTACCTGGCCACACGCTCTCCTGGTGGTCACCCCTGTTTTCCAAGCCACTAAACCATGAAATGATCTCTGGAAACACTGAGTAATATGAGGTAGCTCTTTTTGGTTCCCTAAGAGTATTCCTTTTATGGTTATAAACTATCCAAAAGAGAAGAGATTCAAGGAAATCCTTATATGGGATGGCACTGAATACTCAAGTTTTTTGTTAAACATACTTAGAAAAATGTATCAAATAATCGATTTTCACATTCTAATAATTACCTCAGATTTCAAACTCAGATTTGAATAACCTATAGATTTTCAAATTTCTTTTGTGTTTTTCTTGCAAAGCAACCATATGAGACCAAGAAGAAATAAACCCACACATTTTTAGAGAAGGTTAAAAGCAATTGAAAAACCAAACACATTCTAAGGCAAAGTAAATGATAATTTTCTGTGTTCCTCTGAGAAAGAATATTCTTTGTTAGGGAGCACTATCTTAGTTCTCTTAGTGTATCAACTGCTTAATGAGAATCTATTGAATATAAGAACTACTTTGAAAAAAAAAGGGAGGTGGTAATTTTCTATGTTATTCTGCAGCTTGGAAACGGAAGTAATGTAGCCTGAAAATGAATGTGGATATAATAATATACTAACAGCAACTATCATTAATGGGGTATTTTACATACTTTACCTCCTTTACTCATTACAATAATTATCCCCATTTTGCAGAAGAGAAAATTGAGCTCACAGAGGTTCCATTAATTTGCTTCATGGTAACACAGTCAAAATATGGCAGAGTCAATACCTCAAGACCCCTGCTCTTGTCTCCTTTAACATCCTGTCCTAAATCCCCCATGTCACTGCCAGCAAATGTTTTGCCAAGAACTTCCACGAAGCTTTCCCAGGTGGCTCATCACCAGGTATGACTGCCCCAGGATGTAGCCAAAGGGAGGCAGGGAGGCCTGGAAGCTTCTCTCCCTTGGTCTCCTCTGGTGCAGGCAACCTCCCGCCAGGCCAGCCGTGGCACCCCAGGGGTGGCCTGGACAGTGGGCAGCCAGGCAGCCTCCCAGTGCTCCCTCCAGGGACCCAGGTTGTCCATAGGTACCTTTCTTGAGTAGCACCACAGTTGCGTCGCAGTTGCTGCTGTCGTCAATTTCAGCATTGTTGGCCAAGCCGTTGACCATGTTTCCAGCACCTTTTGTCCTCCTTTCGAAGCACTGATGGATGCAAGCGTTATATCTGAACAAAGTAACAAGCAGAAGGAGCCCATCAGCTGTGTGTGCCCTGCAGCTCTCAGTCTAGGTGCATTGTGAGGGACCCCGTGCCTCAAGTTATCATTATTATTATTCTGTCTTCCATGTCCCTATAGAAAAATGCAATCTGTCCTCTTTTCCGATTTCAGGATATATGGTAAGTGAAAATAAAACCAACATCACATAAGTAAATAGAGACACACTGCTTTCTTTGCAACTTCTCAAGGTCAGTGGCGGCATCCCGGGATTGAGTTCCCTTGCCCGCAGTCCATGCATGGAAGGGCCATGATGAGACTCAGCAGGATGGGCAAGGTCATGGCTCCAGGACCTTTGCTGTTAGGGGTCTGCTGGGCGGGGGAAGGAGCAGGTGTCACAGTGCATCATGGTCTGCAGGCTACAGGCTGGCTGGCACTCTAGGTCTCTGTGTTTGGTTTTTTAAGATCATAGGTTGGGGTCCTGTGAATCTCTGTACATGCTGGGCCATAATTCCAGGTCCAGTGGGCTATTGGCTTTAGGAAACAATTCTGGGCTATGATTGTCCAGAATAACTGGGTGAAAACATTGTGTAGCCCTTCTTACATGTGTGTTGGAAGGGAAGAAGCCTATATAAATTCCTAGCATGTTTTTGGCAGCTAAATGTTCTGGTCCCTTTATCTTTAATACTGGAAGACTCCCAAAGAGGAATCCTAGAAAACTCTTGGGGAAAGTCAGCCAGGTAGAGTTTCCAGGGCTTTGGAAGCCACTGCTGTCTTTTGCACCACTCGAACACCTAAAGACCTCGGTGCCTTATTGGCCATGGCATAACCCATTGAGGTGTTCCCCAGCTTGATCTCTGGCCTCCCAGAGGAACCGCAGCCAGTCATGGCAGCTCTAAATGGCCAGCTGGTAGGCCACTCAAGCTGCGTTTCCCCCCACAGGCTTCTCTTCCACATCCCCTTTACTGCTACAGACTCTCTGGAGTCTTCTTTACTGTAACCAATGCCTGTTCTTCAGTCAGAGCAGCTCTGGGTGGGTGGGCCATCATGGTACAGATGGAGGGACCTTCTGTGGTTGGACAGCCCCTTCCTGTACTCCCTGGGAGCTTACAGTTCATCCTCCATGGCATGAGGGAGAACAGAAAAGTAGTCAAAAGTGATGGTGATTTCTGTGAGAAGGGAAGTGGGCAGGCCAGTCCTGGGGCAGTCTGGGGCACTCTCAGGCTTAATACCGAGAGGGAGAACGGAACCAGAACATCACTATTTTGCAACCCTAAAGAAATAATGGAGCCAGATCTTGTGCATTGATGACTGCCAACATCACAGACCGAGAGACAAGAGACATTAATGTGCCTGTTGGTGGCAGAACTCACCACCACTTGGGACACAGTCTACCCTGAACTGGACTGATGGCTGGCATACAGGAAATATGGAGGTCAAAGGAACAGGCCGCACCACAGCACAGGATGTAATCAACAATTTCTAAACTGCAGGAAACTGTGTAGCTAATAATCCAACTTCATCAAAGAATAAATTGCAAGGAAAAAGAAAACCAGACGGGGGATTCATAGATTAAAAGTTGGAGCAACCAATGATAATGAGTGGGATTTATTTGGATTCTGATTTTAAAAATATTTAGGAGATTAAAAGAAAGCTGTAAAAGATGGCATTCATGAGATCATTGAAAATTTGAACACCAATTTGATATTTAATTATATTGAAGAAATAGCATTAATCTTGGGTGCGATAATCATGTGGTGGTTATGTGAAAGGTGTCCTTTTAGAGGTATATCCTGAGGTTTTTATAGATGAATTGGCATGCTCTCTGGGGCTTCACACCACATGGAGGGAAAGAAATGGATAGGGGTGTGGGCTTCTGGCTGTCAGGCTGATGATGAGCGTGGGGGGCTGTCATACCATTCTGCTGGCTTTTGTAAATATTCAAATCTTCTTAATGAAAAAGTCTCCCCACTTTCTAGACTGAAGAAGAATGTCTTGCCTTACTGATAGAGCTATGGGGGAGAGGCAGAATTTCTGTCATCTTGACTCAAAATCCATTTCCCCACAGAAATATCGACTTGCATGAAGCTTTGCCTTGAAAGTACAACCGTGTGTTACACATTTATTTGGATTTGGATAACAAGGTAATAACACTATGTCTAGTCTTATTATGAGACCTTTCTTGAAATCAGATACTGGTTAGTAACTTAACTATGCTGTCCCATTTCATGCTTACAACCTTTGTGGTAGGAGGCGTTAGGAACCCTGTTTTTAAGAGAGGAAGCAGAGATTCAAAATGGCAGAATAACTGGGCCCAAGGTCTTACTGCTGGCAAGTGGCAGACTGTGAGGTGTGACCAGGCAGGGCTGAACGTGCAACTCTTGATCTCAACCACCAGACTACACTGCCTAACCTGGGGACTAACTCCCAAAGAAGGGACCCAGACGTACAGAAATCAATCCTCACCAAGGCCAGGTAAGCCTCATGCATGTTCCCTTAAGATTTCTATCTACTTGGCCAAACTGAAATTGCTTTTTGACCTTCAGACAGAATGTTTAAAGTCATCCACCCAGGAGGCAGCTGACGACTCTAAAATATGCGGGTTTTAACTGCTGCTACTCAGTTTTATATTTTTAATTGAATGTTTTAAATTTTGTGCTTGCACCCTGAAGCTATTTTATTGTGAAGCATGCAATTTTATAAATCAGATTTTATAAAACCCCATGATTAAAGCCTCTGATTGTGGACAGGGATGGCTAAAGAGCAGAGATTTCAATTTAGAACTTAGGACCAGAATTTATGCAGAAAATTCTGTGAGCACAGTAGCTGCCATTCCCTGTTTTATTTGTATCCTGCTGGTTTGAACAGCTGGAAGGCTGGGAAAGTTGAGGCATCAGCAGAAACACACCTCATTAGCTTTCACACTGGGCACAGTTTGGGGGAGAGGAGAGAAATTATTCACCGTGTTATCTTAATATCCACATGCCCTGCCAGCAACTCATGGGCTTTATGATGGCTTGGTAGAGGGGTGCAGTGGTCACAAGATGCATACTAGCAAAATTCCTCAACCTTCCTTCCCTTTGGACCAACTCTGGTGTAAGCCCTCCTTATTCTGTGAAGCCCCCAGTGAATGCACTATGGGACATGTGCATTCGGATTCAAAACCAAAGACCAGTGTTGAGTATAGAGCACTCAGTCAATTCTTCTGGAATAATTGACCGATTCACCCTTTCAAAGGGGAAGAAAAGGACTCCTGACTTTTGGGGACCTCAAACTTAGGGCCTCAACATATTACAAAAAAAAAAAAGGTGAAATAATCAAATTTAAAACACACTGAAAGAAGATGTATGTATTATTGAGACCTTCCTATAGTGGCACTGATTTCCTAATGGTTTTGCTATTTGAGAGAAGGAGGAGCAAGATGCCTTCAAAGACTTTTCCTTAGGAGTCTAGAAACTCTGGAAGGCCTTTGGGCCAACTCTGGTTTTCATGGGAGCCCATCAATTGGTATTTTTAAATGGAAGTTGAGTAGTGGTAAAAGCACCTGATTTCTTCATCAGTCATCCCATGGTAACCCCACACCAGGATACTCTAGAAATACCCTCTTCCAGTAACAAGTCCACACTGACCACTGGACAGCTCCTGAGGTGAAGGCTGGATGCCATATTGAGTGGACTGGCCACAGACTGCTTACAGCCCACAGTGGACATCAGCTGAACCAGTTCCTACCTTTACTGTTGGTGCAATGTTTGCCGATGGCCATGCTGATTTCTCAAAAAAGGTCTCTCGGACACTAGTGGCCAGAATTATTTTTTGTCATTAACAGCAAAGACAATTTGACATGTCAAATTCCAGGCTGCTACCTGATGTGTCTAACTGGCAATTTCTGACTGTGTGGTACTTTCTTGCCCCCTGAGAAGGTAGTCACAAATGCTGGGGAAAGTACGGGTTAATTTGGAATGAAAGAAACAGCTCCCATGGGGTCCAGCCGCTGCAGCACGGAATGGCTCTACGTTATTTATGAGCTCCTCATCTCAATGGTACTTGGCAAAAAGATGAACCAGCAGGTTCACAGCCATGGTGCTTACTTTTTGCCTTAGAGTATGGGAAATACCAGCTAATAAAATTCTTGATACAAACAGTAAGCCTCCCAGACTCTAGGGGCGGGGGAAAGAACCTATGAAGTGGTGGTTTTCAAATATGTCCACAAATTCTTTGACACTCCTCCCTTCAAATGGTGAAGCAGATCCCTCGAGTGTGGGCTAGACTTACTTCTAATTAACAGAATATGGCAGAAGTGACAGCATGTGACTTGTGAGACCAGATTAGAAAAGGCACTGGGGGTCCTTCTTGCTCTCTCTCTTGACTCACTTGCTCCCGTGCTGTGGAGACACTCAACCAGCCCTAAGGAGAGGCCCACATGCTGAGGAACTGAGGGCTCCAGCCAACAGCCAGCATCAGCTCGGCAACAGCACAAGTGGGTCATTTTGCAGCCCCAGTTAAGTAGATGACAGCCACCCTGGCAACCTCTTAACTACGATCTCAAGGAAGACCCCGAGCTAGAACTCTCTGGTTATGTGCTCCTGGATGCCTGACTCAGAAGCTGTAACGAGATAACACATGCTTGTAGTTTTAAGACACTACATTTCAGGCTCATTTGTTACACAATGGTAGGTGATGAATATGTTATGAATAATGCAAGTCTGCAGGTATTCGATCCATGGTTTTAGTCATCTCTTAATTAGCTCTGGTCCCATCTTTGTCACCCTATATAGAAGCATGACTTAGTGAATTTTACCTCCTTTACTGTTATGAAAGAGAGTGAAAACAGCCCAAAACTTGGTTGCCAGGTATTAAAGAGGGTACAAAGGTTTGAGAGATTTCTCCAATTAAACACGTAAAGCTTTGATTCTGTTATCACATGAGGTTTCGAAGGGTCTTTGCTGTTGCTTCGAATCAGAACTTACAGTGCTGCACAGCAGGTTGCTGAGGGAACCCAGGAGTCTGTGATCGGCAGCACTGAAAGCCAGCCCACTACCTGCCCTGCCCCCATTCCTCTTTCCACATCATCCCATCATTCTCAATGTAGGAAAGAGTTTTGGGAAAGAAAACCGAGAAAACATTTTACTTACTTCATGATGACGATATAGATGAGATACATCAGCACGAGGACTAAAGACTCCCACCTGGGTAAAACCAAGAATGGCTAGTTACAGAAAGTCACCACAGGCAGATGTGCAACACACCAGCTGATCGCTAAACATCCACGCCACGTGAAGGGCAGCTACACCTGGCAAGCAGGGCGAGGACAAGGCACATGTGCAGACTGGTTACAAGTGTTTCCTGGTCTGTAGACACAGCTTTCAAGGGGCTTTATTTTCCTTTTCTACCTAAAAGGAAAATGCTCCTTCCCTTCCATTATTCACTCACCCAAAAGTTCTGCGAGAGCACAAGTCTACCATAATATTGCTGATTATAAGCCTGTATTTATGAATCCATCCACAGTTTAATCGTTCAGTAAAACTATTCATATATATTTACAAAGGGCAAACTAGAGGAATTCACAGGGGTGACCCAGAGATTGCTGGATAGGAGGAGCAAGGCACAGAGAGAGAGGGAGGGGGAGGGGGGAGGGAGAGGAGGGAAGGAGGAGATTGAGAGGTGAAGGGAGGGGGAAGAGGGAGGGAGAGAGGGAGATAGGAAGGGAGAAAGTGAGGGAGAGGGAGGAAGATGGAGGGGGAGGGAGAAAGAAAAGGAGGGGGAGGAAAGAGAGGGAGGGGGAGGGAGGGAGAGAAGGAGGAGGTTTGGAGAGGAAGGGAGAGGAAGGGAGGGAGAGGTGGGAGGAAGAGGGAGGGAGGGAGAGAGGGGGGAGAGGGAGGGAGGGAGAGAGGGAGACAGGAAGGGAGGGAGAGAGAGAGAGAGAGAGAGGGAGGGAGAGAGAGAGGGAGACAGGAAGGGAGAAAGAGAGGGAGAGGGAGGGAGAAAGAGAGTGAGGGGGAGGGAGGGAGAGGGAGGGAAGGAGGGAGAAAGGATGCTTGGGCAGGGAGGTGCCAGCAAGTAGGATAAGAATGGACAAGTGGAAAATGGTCAAGAGAAAGTAGAAAATAAACCCACTGGAATGTACCTTGAACTTCGGATAATTTGAATACTTCTATTTTTTTCATTTTAGTAACTTCCAGTTTCAAAAACCAAGGAATTTAATTTTTAAGCTCCCCTTTTAGCTGTAGAATTGAGGGAGTAATTCTGGTTTCGAGAAAAGGTTACTGGAGAATGGTCTGTGAAGAAATTCTAGGTTATGCCTTCCCTTCCTGTTTTCTTCTCAAGTTCTGTGTCTAAAAATTGACCCTTGGGGAAATATGTGGTCAAATTTAAAAAGGCCGCACACAGGGGTTTTGTTGCAGCGGTGTTTATAACCCCAAAGTGCTGGAAAGCAGTGAGACAGTTGTAGGAGGGGAGGCTGGGTCCACCTGTCACGGTATTTCAGTCCCGCACATCGGTTCAGAATCACTATGCAAACTGTGTGTGTGCGCGTATCTGGTATAAAAGTGCTCTTGCTGCTACTAAGAGAAGTCAGGGGCTCCAAATCTCTCCACTCTCCACCACATTTCTCGGCTCCTCTCTCAGCAAACCTTCTCAAAGCATCGTGCGCACTGCCCTGCAGCACCTCCCACTCACTTGGCAAATTCCTTGAGTCTAACATCCACAGCCATCCATCCTCTGACACACTGGTCCAGGGCACCAGCCACCTCCATGTGCACGTGCCCAGGGATGGTTCTCAGCCACCCTGTTCAACTTCCCTGCAGCATCTGAAGGTTGACCACCTGTCCTCCTGCATGCAACATGCTCTTCCCCCAACTTCTGAGAGGCCGCACGGCTGCTTTTCCTCCTGTCATCCCCCTACCTTCTCCTTCCTTCTGCCTCCTCCATTTCCTCAGGTGAAACTCCAAATATGGGACCCTCTTCTCTTTTTACCTAGATGACGTCATCTCATCATCCTGCTGTAAACACCAGCCGACACCTCCACCCCACACTTCTCCCCAGCGCAGGGGCTTATACCCATGGTCAACATGGTTTCTCCACGTGGCGACTAAATGCACGTTGGAGCGGAATCTGGAATTCCTACTTCCCGGCTTCATGCTCCCTGAGCTTTGCTACCTCAGTCAACTGTACCACTCCCTGCCCGGTCAAGCTCCAAATCTGGAAATCAGTCAGGAGCACTCCTTGACCCTCGCCTCACATCCCTCAGAACCCCACGTCCAAAATATTTCCTGAATTGTTGGCTTCTGCCCTCTGCACTGCTACTCGCCAGGCCACCTGAATGGCAGCTCTGAACTGGTGTCTGCAAGGCTACTTGATCATGTCATTCTTCTGTTTCAAGCTCTCCAGCTGCTTCCCAACATACTTGAGAAGAAAAAACAAAAGGTGCCCTTTCTCTGTAAAACCCAGTTCTTTTGCTTCGTCCAATTGTCTGTGCCCCCTCTGTGTTTCACCACACTGGCCTCCCTTCGTTTGCACATGCCAGAAGCTCTTTCCTTCTCCACAGGGCCTTTGCACTCACTATTCCTCCTGCCAAGAATACTCTTCCTTTCACTCCCTGGCTGGCCCCTTTTATCCTGCAAATGCCCGTGGAAATGTCACGTCCTCCAAGATGTCTTCCCTGCCTACTCCTTCACTTTCTATCACATGACCTTGTGTATGTTCTTTAAACCACTGACCTGTCTGTGCTTCCCTTGTTTATTTATTTATTCATTCCTTACTAATGCCTGTTTCAGGCAGTCACTTGACAGCACTCATACTTGACCCCCACCTCAGCTATCCCATTTCTCATTTTCCAGAGACTTAGAACAGATCCCCTGACAGCTGATTCGCCTTCCCTCCCTGGGGGCCCACTATTCTCCTCTCCCCACAGCACAGAGCAGCCCTCAGCTCATCTGCACAGGGTGAGACTTCCTTTAAAATCCATTTCCAGGGGCACCTGGGTGGCTCAGTTGGTTCAGTGACTGCCTTTGGTTCAGGTGATGATCCCGGAGTTTGGGATCAAGTCCCACAACAGGCTCCTTGCTCAGCGGGAAGCCTGCTTTCCCCTCTGACCCTCTCCCCTCTCATGCTGTTTCTCACTCTCTCTCTCTTGCTCTCTCTCAAATAAATAAATAAAATCTTTAAAAGAAATCCATTTTCAGTTGCAAAATACCTCTTGAACATGGTCCTTATTGAAACCAGTGTATGTGTGGCATAAAATTAATTGGGAAAAATGAGGCTTATTCAGTGTTCATTTTGAAGGCAGAGATACTCGAGATCCAAAGGGATGCCATGTAACTTGGATGCATTTTAATAGACTCAGGAAGGGGTCACCAGGAAACAGACCCACAACGTGAAATATTTCAGCTACGCTGAATGAAGTCCAGCACTTTGTAAACAGGTAGATGGATACTCTCTAATTCCTTTAGGCCTTTTTGTTTTTTTCCTCAAAACAAGCCCTTCCATTGCAATGTTCAAGTAAAGTTCTCTTTTGTTAGATTTCAGGGATGCCCATGAGATGGGTGTTCTCTGCTTCTGCTGACATTTCAGGTTTGCTTGGTGGGCGCCCAGACAGGGCTCACCCAGTGGTTGCTCCAGAGGAAATACACGAGGCTCTGTGAGGCCTTGATACTAGCCAGCTGCTGTCCTCTCTGCTTTAGGGCCTGAGTGTTTGATCCAGTCCTGGCTCAATGCTCTTCAGAGTCCCAGGGATACCCCCCGCCCCCGCCCTCCCCATGCCATGAGTGTCTCCAAATGACCCCGTGATTACATGTCTACTGTCTGCCTCCTCTCTAGTCCCAGAGAACCCAAGGTGAGGGCCGAGTTTGGTTCTGTGTTCTATTTCTGGTTCTGGAACAGAGCCTCGCATTCAGGAGGTGTTTAGGAAACAGGGGTGGAACTGGACAGATTCCACATGCAGACCTCTAAAGTCACACAGCTCTTGTCCCCCTTCTCCCCCCCCCCCACCCAGGGACACTTCTCCACCTGCCTCTCCTGACCACAGCTCATCCACTGTCCTCCAAGGACCTGGTCTTGTGGCATGATCTGGGTTTGTTCTTTCCCTTCCTGCAAACTTCCATTTGGAACCACCTTCAACTGGCCCCTGGTTCTCCTGCCAAAGATTGTTCTTTCCTGTATTGGGAAGCTTATTCCCTGTTCCTCCCCATTCTCACCCAAAGGGCATGGCTCTGCTTTCCTAACTGTGGTCCAGAACATTCAATGCTGGTTCCAAGTGCCACACAGGTAAATATTCTCCAGGTCACGTCCCCAGGCTCTCTTTTCTCTCCCAAAGTTACAGCTTGAGGTTCAAAGAAGAAACAAGAACATCAACCTGGATCCTTTTGTTTTCTTGTCAGGCCTTCAGACTCACTGAAGACATAGTCCAAATTCCTTCCAGCAATATTGTGGGCCTTGCTGAGCTGTCATTATGGATTCAGGTTGAACATCCTTCATACTTGGTGGATCTCTGATGCTTCCTATTTTAAATGTCTTTAGGGGTAGTTATGTAACTGAAAAGCACCAAACTTATATTCACCTGCCTTTTGTTTGCTAATAGAAGCCTACGAGGTTGAGACAGCAAATGAGGACTACTGGATCTGAAGGAGGGTGGGTCCATCTCCAGAATAAATCATGATCGATCTAGAGTTGTAATTCTATTCCACCTGGCCATAGTGGGGACCAAAGAAATATAAGGTGGAAAGGTGTTCTTCCTGTTTCCTCCTTCTTGGCTTCAATCTAAACTTGATGCCTGGGACTGCAGCAGCCCTCCTGGGACCACGAGGGAGAGGCCAAGAGAAATGCGGAGCCATCGTACACCAACAGCTGGGGTACTTGTTATGTAAGAAAAATAAACCACTGTTTCTTTAACCCACTGGAGCTGGTTTTCTGCTGTAAAAGCCTTTTGCCTGCCCTTCCCTGGCTGCTTGAGATCTGCTGCAGAATGCTGATTCAGGAGTGGTAAAGGCGTCTGAGCTGTGGATGATGGGGAAGTCTTGCCCCCGTGTATTGTACTCAACAAGGCTCCTTTAGTCCTACAGAGTACTCTCATTTCAAAAGATACACAAGTGAAATTAGTTTGCTTTTGAGGATTTGGGATGAATTGGTTACCGCCCTGGAAATCGCTAAGACATGATGGAATGTTCTACAACAAGGAATAGAATTCACTGTTAAAGGTATTTGTGAAGTATTGCTGTGTTTTAATTGCACAGGTTGAAGAATCTGGTGTTAAAGGGAGAAATCAGAGAAGTCAGCTCTTAGACACACCCTTTCAGCAAAACAAATGCTTGTGGTTGGCAGGGTACGAAAAATACCCAGTATTTTCGGTGGACAGTGAAAAATACCTTAAAGTTCAATATATTTTGCATTTAAATGAGGAGCTGAGATCCCTGGAAGTCCCAGAGCAGTTATGGGCCAGTGGCGCAGACTTTAATCTCTCAGCCTCACTCATGTGAAGAATGTCCTCCGTCAGCGCATCCACATAATAACAATAATTACGTAACAGGCCAGCAGTCTGGGAATGATGTCCTGGTGCCATGAAGCTTCCCCCTTGTTCTTCCCTGCAGCTATTCCTGTGCACGAGTTAGGATTCTAACCCAGCCCAGGCTGGAACGAAACATACTTGGGAATCTGCAACTCATTCATTCATGGCCTTCCTGTCTCCTCCATGTGGGAGCCTCAGTGCTCAGGCTGAGGGCCCAAGGACCTCAGACCCTGAGCCCTTCAGCGCAGGCCCAGGGTGCTAACCCAGAACCCAGGGTTCTAACCTCGTACATCCACAGGAGATTTGGCCTTTGGAATGCAGAGGAAACAGTCTCTCCCTTTCTTTTTTTTTTTTTTTTTTAAAGATTTTATTTATTTATTTGAGAGAGAGAATGAGAGAGAGAGAACACATGAGGGGATAGGGTCAGAGGACGAAGCAGACCCCCTGCTGAGCAGGAAGCCTGATGCGGGACTCGATCCAGGGACTCCAGGATCATGACCTGAGTCGAAGGCAGTCGCCCAACCAACTGAGCCACCCAGGCGCCCCAGTCTCTCCCTTTCTTGATCCACACCATCTGAAAGATCCTAAAAGACATTCTGAGGACTGAAATAGGCCTGCTTTCATCAGCAAAGCCAGGGAGGTAGAGAAGAGAGAGCTCTAAGAAAAACCAACAGTAAACCACCATAGCTATCCTCTTTCTTAAGGTTTTCTGTGTAAAAACAGCAGAAAAATTTCTGAGATTGACTGCAATCATAACTTGTCTTTATGGCAGTGTTGTGAGCTAAGAGTAGCAACACTGAACAACATGTAAGCATCTACTGTTTGCTAAGGCAGAGCGGTGGTTGTGCTAAGTGTGCCATCATTTGGAGTGAGAATAGTTTTGTAAGTTTTCTTGTGCTGCACTTCATCCCCAAGGACATGGAGGGAAGATGTCACCACTCTGCTCGGCGACTTGTCCAGGCAGATCCCATGAAGAGGTTCTCCCTGACCTCTGACCTGAGGTGCTCCCAGACATCTTAATCCTTTTTAGCCTGCTGGTCCAGGCTTCTCAAAGAAGACCTTCTTGTTTTTTAATGGGTTGATATAAAGATGATGCATCTTAAAGCAAGTTCTCCTAGTGGCCTCCTCCTTGCCCCTCCTGGACAGAGGAGAGAGAGCTGGCAAAACTACACTTTAATACCTTGGCATGGTGAATCACATTTACCATCAATGGGGCAAGTTCCTCTACCATGCCCAAATTCTGAAAATCAGAGATCCTAAGACAAAGAGATGTCACTCCCACAAAGGGCTAGTGCGCATTTTGACAAAGGCTCACTCTTAGCTTTAAATAATACCACGAAAGTTGGTCTACTTACCTAGCTACACTGACTGCCACACTATCCCTAAGATGCGATTTCGTATTTCTCTATATCTACAGATTAAATATTTGAGAAAAACGAAGCAAGAATGCACAACACACCCAATTTCTATTTCTATTCCAAAGATATCTGACTTGCTCAAAACCCACCTGAGAAATGGGGATTTGAGTAGTTGACCCAAATGCAAATGTTCCCATAGACGTAACCTGGCTAAAGTTTTGTATCTATCAAAAAAAAAAAAAAAAAAAAGTGGGGCGCCTGGGTGGCTCAGTCGGTTAAGCGACTGCCTTCGGCTCAGGTCATGATCCTGGAGACCCTGGATCGAGTCCCGCATCGGGCTCCCTGCTCGGCGGGGAGTCTGCTTCTCCCTCTGACCCTCCTCCCTCTCATGCTCTCTGTCTCTCATTCTCTCTCTCTCAAATAAATAAAATCTTAAAAAAAAAAAAAGTCACTGATTTTTCAGAGATCTAAGATCATCTTGAATGTCAGGCAGAACTTTAATGGGTCAAGGATAACGGAAGTGCCTCCATCTCTGGTTCCCGAGACATACATGGTATTTGGAATACGCCAACGCGGTCTGGATACGACTTGTAAAGACCAGTCAAATCCTAACCAGGGCCCAGCAAATGACTGACTGCAGGAGGCCAGCTGAGTCAGGCCAGCTAAGTTTGTCACTAACCTGGGTGACAAAGACAGTGGGATATTAGCCTCCCAAGTGGAAGGCCACCACCCCAGCCCAGGGGAAAAGGTCTCTGCTCTGTGAAAGCTAATCTAACGTCTTTGTTGAGGTCCGCAGAGGGGTCCCAGGAGGTGCTGGTTGTTCCAAGCTGCCCCGACATTCCCCTTTCTTTCTAAACCCTGACTGGTCTTCCATATATTCGGCTCCGCAACACAGCCAGGGGAAACCGGAAGGGAAAAAGAGGCACTTACCAGGAAACTTGTTCGTCATAAATGAACTGTAAAAAAAATAAAAAGGACAGACAATTAGACACGCGCGCACACGCACACACTTTACGACTGCACGTTGTCCCGCCACGTGGCCTGCTTTGCGGGGATCCGGCTGCGGCTGGCCTGCAACCAGAAGAATCTGCAGATAAACTTCCCTCTGCGCTGGTTCTGTTTCTGGCTAACGTTAGTGGGAGGAGGTGCTGTTGGCAGGCTGGGGCGGCACGCTGCGGAGGGGAGAAGCACAGGGTCATCCCTTCCTTTCTGCAACTTCTGTCCAACGGTGGAGGGGCAGAGAAGCACGACCACCCCTCTGTGCAGAGCACTATGCACTGTCGAATTTTAGATCTGGAAGGGGATAGGGGAGCCTGGCGGGTGCTTCCAAACATCAGCCACTTGGGGGCCACCTGTAAGACGTCTGCACGTCTCTGGGCTCTCTACAGCACCTTCAAGCTTTTAGGCAAGCCCTCGGATTTCTATGTACTCAATATTTTTCTTTTGGTTGACTTGTTTCCTTAAAAGAATTGACTTTCAAAGAAAACTCTGCATCACAACCAGAATCAGAGACTCCACTCCACTTGCCGCCCTTGTGCAGAGGGTGGGAAGTCAATGCAGTGACGACAGTGACTGCACACCCCAGCGGGGCCCCGCAGGCTGCCCATGCCCTGAGCCACGGGCCTGCCCTTTTGTTCAAGGAGATTTGCAAGGGTCAGAGGCGGCTGGAAAGAGGGACCAGTGCCAAACTGAGATCTGCCTCCCCCTTAAGCCAGAGCCCAAATCCCTTCTCACTTTGGGGATTAAAGTGGTGTCATCCTGGCCCTTTGATTTATATGGGGAAATGGAGCCACAGAGAACACGAGTTTTCCTGAGGGTGCTCATTTAGCTGCAGAGCTGGTTCTAGAACTCAGGCCTGGCTCTTAAGTCTTCTTTCCATGACACATTTCCGTGCCTCAAAGGCACGCTGTTGAAAACAAGTGGAAGCTGAGGGTTGCTTCATAGCTCGCTCTTTCCACCTTCACGGGATACGACTGCTCTGGGTACGACCAGCTCTTAGCGCTTTTCTTTCGGGGCCCGTGGCCCTCTGGAGACTCCAAGGCAAAAACCTCTGGGTGCAAGGGGTCATTATGGCATGGAGATTGTAAACTCAACCAAAGACGTGGGCATCGCTTCAGTCCCTGGAGATGATAATAAGCAGCAGCTGTGAGACATGCAGAGAAAACCGCACAGCTGAACAGGTGTGGCTCTGAAGGCACCAGAGAGGACCTCTCTCCAATTATCCCAAAGCCGCAAAGAGAAGATGAGAAGAAAGGGGACCCACTTATTTGTAGCTCACAGTTCCTGACAAGACACTGAAGAAGACGTTGGCTTCAGCAGCTTTGTGACTCTTGTTATCAGATTCAACAGGTTGACATTTGGATGAAAATGTCAAATCAGAATGGGAAGAGAATTAAATAAAGGAAGCCATCCTGCGATCCAGGTTGGATGGTATGCAGTCCACCCCTGGAAGGCATTCACGGATCCTTTTGTACCACCCCCAGCTTAAAAAAAAAAAAAATCATCAAGAAATCAGGGAACAGAACAAATGATTTAAATTGGAAAATGTTTCTATTAATTGAAGTTTATTTAGTATCAGTCTTGAGCATTGTGCTGGAGCAATCAATTCATGGCCACTTAAGAGAGCACGAGATACTGGTAAAGACTTTATTAAAGCGCCAATTTAATTTTCGTCTATCAGGGAAGGCAGGTGATACTCTATAATATAAAAGCAGCTTTCAGGAAGCCCTTATTCTATGCCATCTGAGTGACAGGTGGGGGCACAGATCAATGGGTCTTTAGCGATTATTTCAGTGATCATATCAATGGGGAAAAATCAGTATAGGCTGAACTGTGCAAAGGATCCCAAAATGAGAATGGAATTTACAGAGGACACAATAAATCAGGGAATAGTGGGGTCTGGACTAGATACACAATTAAGGACAGAACATCATGAGTCTGAAGATTAGGTAGAGGCGGTGGCCAGGGAAGTCAGGGGTGGGAACGGTGTTGAGGGAGGCAGACAAGGAGAACTGCCCATGGTCTCCCTACAAATCTTAACAAATGAAGATGATCTGGAAGCCTCCATATAACTGACGCAGGGGCACCCCCTCACTGACCACTCAGAGTCAGAAGCCCTCAGCTGCCTGGTGGCTAATGAGCAAACACCACCTGGAATTTATCTGACTTCTTCTAGAGGATTGGGAGGAAGAATGAGAGGACTCAAAAAAAGAACAGTAAAATAGAGAAAAGGAACTAGAAGTCAGGCCTTTAGGAAAATCTACATGGAAAGAGGATTGTTGGTGGTGGGAAAGGAGGGGGATGGTGAGTTATGAATGTGTCTGGGCCTTGCTGGTGGCACCTGGATGAGGCCTAGCCACTGATCATCCCCCACTCAGAAGACTGAAAATGAGGAAATTGACACTGCTCACAGGATGTTCCTTCTAGTTCCTGGACCACCCTGACGGAATGCTGGAATCACTCGGTCTGAAAAGTCCTAAAATGACAAGAACAGGCGACTTTCTCACTTGATGTTGCTGATGGTTTCAGGGAATGGATGTTACTTTGCTAACAGATATTTTATTTTATTCCATTTTATAGACAAATGTTGCATATCCTTCTTTATTTCCATGTTCTATCTGTGGGTAAAAGAAGACGAGACAACTGTCCCACACCTTACAGCGGCCTTAATAGGGTAGAAAACCCCCTGAAATCATTTATATAGGTACTTGTCAGAAACAAGAAATTGGGCCCCCACTTCCACCTGGTCACCACTAGGTGGTGCTCACGTCCTACCCTCTGCTTGTCCACTCTGCCAAGGCAGTGAGGGGGATTGGAAGGAAGTCAGATCAAGTCCATTTCAAGGCTCCATTAAACTTCCTGGAAAGAGGGTAAACACCTCAAGACAGAAGGCTTCCTAACGGAGTCTTCAGCCAACGTTCTGGAGGCAGGACACGTTCTGAGTTTAAATAAAGGACGCCATCCCACGATCCAGGTCCCTCGCGGGGCAGGTCCCTCAACTCATGCCACCACTCAAACCCCAGGATATGCTGCAATTGAGGGACCTGCTGTGTGGCCTTTGGAACTGACTTGCCCTTATCCCAGTTGGGTTTCTGAAAACAAGTCTTGCTTGCGAAAGTAGCTCTTTGGCTTTGCTTCTTGTGTTTGGTGCTGCCCCCGTGACCACATGCGGATGGTGCTAACTGGTATCTGGGCTCCAGATTTGCTGCACACAGCTGGTCAGGGGACCTGCTCTCTGACCCCAGTATGGTTCATCCAACGCTACCTCTGGCTTCGCCCGTAAGCTTTCCACATGTTCCACAGACAAGCTAAATGTGAACATGCAGGAGCGAATTTGAAAACAACAACAACAAACCACTCTTTTCCTTCAGGCCTCAGAGAAATAGTTGGGTACCATGGAAACCAGCTTTCAGCCCTGGTGTCTCCTCTAGAATTCTTTTTTTTTTTTTTTAAAGATTTTATTTATTTATTTGAGAGAGAGAATGAGAGAGAGCACATGAGTGGGGGGAGGGGCAGAGGGAGAAGCAGACTCCCTGCCGAGCAGGGAGCCCGATGCGGGACTCGATTCCGGGACTCCAGGATCATGACCTGAGCCGAAGGCAGTCGCTTAACCGACTGAGCCACCCAGGCGCCCACCTCTAGAATTCTTCTAAGAGAGACGGGCTTACATCAGGCAGGTGAATCCCTGGATGACCAAGCATCCCAAGGAACTGTTAAGGAAGTGGCCTGCTCAAGACGGAAGAGCAGGGAAAACACGGGCCAGGAGTCGCCCAGGTGTGCGGGCGGCAGACAGCAGGGCTGGCTTCTGAGCAGGGAGGCAGGTGGCTGTCCCCACATTGTGTGTCAGTCCATGGAGTGGCTTACTCTATGCTGTAACCATGGAGCAGAAGAGGGCGCATTGAAGAACCTACAATTTCCATAGCTTGTGTTATAATCACTGGCACCATTAGAATTTTAAGCAGCGAAAGTAATAGGAGACAATCAACACCACCATTCTCTTTCAAGACACTAAAATCCTGAAAAATCATCCCTCCCTAGCTGGATATGGAAACTGCACTTCCCCCGACTTCACACTCAACAGCATGGAGGCTCCCTCAGGAGATGGGCCCAAATGGGAGTTCTGACTTCCTCAGCTCTGGGGACTGGGGGTGCATATGGCGTTCCTTCTGAGGAGAGGAATCCAATGGAATGCACTGGAAAGCTGCTGTTAAGCACCAATATGGTTTACACTTGAAAGTTAAACACGAGTTTCGACCTCAGGATCTCTAGCCAGCCCACAACAGTGGTGGGGGCTGCAGGAGGGTAGGAGATAAGGACTACCTCAAGGCAGGCTTGAGCAGAGCTGGTCACCTCACATAAATATGAAGAGGCAGGTTATGGGATGAAGGAAAGCAGATAAGGGGATGGATTTAGGATACAGGGGAGGATAGTTGCCAAACCCAAAGGGCTATATTTGCTGAGCAGTGCGAAACCAAACACAGGCATATAACTGAAACTTCCAAGTCATTTTCCTTGTGAGAGAGAAGAGGGTCCTCTGTGCATCCCACAGTCTGCCTGACCTACGTCCCTGCTCCAGGACCAAGAGCAAGGAAGGCCCAGCTTCCTGGTACACCCCAGCAGCCTTTAGAGCACGCTCTTCTTCCTCTGAGTGGCAGGGTAAGGACACAGGCGACCCTTTGTATGACCACAGCTGACTTGTTTAAGGAACTTAAAAAATTCTCACATTCATTCCCTCTGAGAATCTTCTAGCTACCGTGGTTGGTTCTCACTTTCCCAGAAGGAGAGCTGAGATATAACAAGGGGTACCATGAATGTTGCTGAATCAGAGTGAAGAGGCTAACTCCCTGCAAGGAAGGGGTCCAAGAAGGGAGGGTGGTGAGCCAGAGGGGCAGGGCCTGGATGGAGGCCCGTGTGGAGGCAGGGATGGGGGGTGGGGAAGGACAGTCATCAACTACTGTGAGATAGATGTCTTTTCTATCATGGATAGGGTGACATAAGATTCTGGATCATTTACGATCAGCGGTCTTAAGGAAAGAGGAATCAGGAGGGGGAAGGCAGAAGCTATTCCCTTCAGTCTAAACATGTGAAGTAAGTGCAGCAGGCATTCCTCTCAACTGGTGGTCTGCACAGCAGGTGAGGGTAAATCAGGATGATTTCAAAGATGAAGAGGCAGATTTTACTGGAGGGGAAATCCGAATTCTTTGCCAGGGCCGGGGGTGGGGGAGGGTGGAGATGTACCATTTTAGACACCTGCTCTGGTAAACCTGAGCTATTGCAGCTCCCTGACCCTGGGCAAATCCCTGAATTTCTGGGGCCTCAGTTTTGCTATCTATAAAATGGGACTCATGTAATTAGCTAGCTTGCAGAGTCGTGAGTATTGAACTGGAAATTCTTCATGGACAGACCCAGCATCGTACCCAGGCCTGTGGTAAGTATCGAGTGTATGCTGGTTAAAACTCGGGGATGCCTGTGAGAATGTGCATATATTTTCTCCGGATGGATCTGCTCTCTGCAACTGTGCTATCTGGTATGGTGTGCACTAGCCACACGTGGTTACATAAATTTCAATTCAATTAAAATTCAGTTCCTTGGTTTCATTCCCTGTATTTCAAGAGCTCAACAGCCACATGTGCCCAGTGGCTACACCACTGGATGATGCCGCCCAGGCCACCTCTGGCAGCTGGGCCAGCTAAGTTGTCTCTCTCTCTGTCCCCGCGAAATCACTTCAAGAGGGGGGACTGCGATCAGCCCCCTGGAGGAAGAAAGGAAGCGTTACCTCGGAGGGGCCTCGCAGCTGTGCCCGTGCTCAGGGGGCCCCGAGGGCCCCCAGCTGGTGCCAGTGGCCCACCTGGCCCCTCTCTGGGTAGGCAGCACTCCTGACTCTGGATCTGTGAGCCAGTTCAGCGGTCCGAACCTGTCTCCGAGGCCTATCCACTCCCCCAGGAGGTTTCCCTTCTCTTACTGCTCACAATCCCCCGTCTCAAAGCAGAGACGGAGAGTAAAAATAAAGTATTCCTTTTTAGGGCAGCTGTTAGATGGAGGATGTAATGAATCATTTGCATTTATGTAAATTACATGATTATGTAAATTACAGTAACATTTCAATAAAAGAGCTGTGTGGCCTGCTGGAATTTGGAGAAAGGGTAGGGCTAGGCAGAGCTGCCTGTGGTGGTGGACATTGGTCGGGGGTGGGTCACTCGAATGGGAGAGAAGCAGCAAGAGGGTCTGTAAGGATGTGCAGACTATCTGCTGGGTAGATGCACACAAGGACATGCTGCAAAGAACCCAGAATGCTTTTAGGACCTAAAAGGTGGCACTTGTCTTGCAGAGAGAGACTACAGTCATGGGGTGAGTCTGCTGGGCCTCGTCCAGCTTCCCCAGGGCCTGAGGCTTCGCTGTACAGGATGTCGCCAGGGCTAAAGGGGGGACGCCTGATGGGGCAGGAAGGGCAGAGAGACACACACTGCATGTTTTTGATATCATAACTGCTTTCGACAGTAACACGTTCCTAATTTCTTCTGCTTTCTCCCTGAAAGACAACACCAAACCCACCAGAAAATAGCACAGAGCCAAGGTAGGTAAAACCCAAATGCCCAAGGGAACGAGTCTCTAGTCTCTAAGTTACCAGTCTTAAGCTCTGTTGTTTTCCGTGTGTGTTTGCCCTCTGGTCTTCTCCAGCTCAGACCTGCTTCAGACCCAGGTAATTGCGACTGTCTGCACTCTCCTGGCCCAGCAGTATGAGCATCCCTCCCATAGCTCTCTCCCCTGTTCTCTGGGTCCTCCGGCCCCATGGTTCATCCTTGGGGCTCCTCTGCATGGGGTTGAAGGGGCTGTAGGGGCTCTCACAGGGTTGTACAAAGAAACGACATCTGGTCCCACTTAGGTGATTCTCATGCACCCACTTAGTCCAGATTTGCCCTCTAGGTGAACAAGCTCTTTACTGCATCACCTCCGGAGACTGGGAATTCTGTCTCCTAAACATTTCAGAACCATAAAAAGGGCAAGAGTGTAAAAAAAAAACAAAAAAAACACAACCCCTCCCCAAACCAAACCCTAATAGATAAAATAAATTGTACAGATGGTTGGTAATTCTTTGTGGATAGGAGGAAGGTGTTTAAATACAGGAATTTTAAGTGCCCACTGCAGGGTCCTATTAGAGAAGCCTATTCTATAAAGAAGGCCAGAAGAAAAGTGATTTTCTTAACATTTGGGGAAAATGCAGAAAGAGGAGAATAGAACACCCTGACAAAAACAAGTAGCAGCCTGGGGACATTGAGATCTGGGGACGTTGAGAAATGCACTTCGCTAAATGTTGTGCTTCTGTGTGGAACACTGTTCTACTCCTCACCCCGGTTTTAGGTATCATGTGAAAATGGCCCTGAGAATGAACAGCAGTCAGCAATCCAGACAAACAAGCTGCCATGATGCCTTGTGTTGGAGAATCTCAACATTTCCTCCGGAAGCGATCATCATTACACAGCAGGTGACTATCCCAAGGAAATGGTGCCCAACTGTATTTGCAGTTGAGTTTCTGGAAGTGAGTGTGGTGCATCGGAATCCCCTGAGGGGCAGGGCAGATCTGGCTCAAATGGAACTTCGTGTGTCCTACCCCAGAACTTACTGGATTAAGATCTCCGGGTTGCACTTTTTAGATAAGCATGCTTGGTGTTTCCAGGGTGTACAGAAGTTGGCGGAACATGGGTAAAAATAAGAAGAACCAAGACCGAACCCTGAGGACTCAAGCTTTATCTCTGCCATTACTTCCTAACAGTGGAGAAATGTAATTTTTCTCAAAATCAGAAAACTCTAGCCTTCACAGCTAGGCTGTAAATACACAGTCCAAATCTGCAGGTAACAGCAAAGAGTCACTGGCTTTTGCATCTTGTTACCATCTGAGGGAAATACAGAACTGCGGCAGCCTGGGTGTCTGGCTGGCTCAGCTCTGTGATTCACGGGCCACACGTGGGGCAGAGGACAGCTTTGCTTAAGACCCCACTTGGGTGAGCATCACCTGCAGCCCAAAGAAGCAAAACTCTTTACTTCCTCACACATCATTAGCAACAGTTACATTTTTTTTTTTTTTAAATCCTGGGCATATTCAGATAAATCCGACCCAAGACAATTATTTCACACAGAGTCCAAGAGGTATCTGTGCTGAAAACAGAGAAAGAAGCCAGTGTGGGCAATTCACTGTTGGGAGTGGACATGCTGAGTCCATGCTCCGGGGAGATCTCTGCCTTCCACCTCATCACCTCTTCTTTCTGGGAATGGTCATCTCATTCCAGAATTCAGTAAAACAGAGAGTTGCATCCATTTATGCCATCCCCAAGCCATGCCTTTTGAAACAGTAACTTCCAAAGCCATCCTAAATTACCCCAAAGGCAGGAGAGCAGAGGGTGCATGTGATCAACGTGGGCTCCCACGTCGCAGGACAAAGCTCGCTGCAACAAGTGTTTGAGAATTCTGTGTGAACAGAAGAGTCTTCTAGATTTGGGGTGATCATACCTTACCCATTACCATTACCTACAGGTAGTAACTGAGAATGAGAACATAGAATCCAGGTGTGTTCTTAAGTCTACCAACCGGAAGTTCAACAGAGGAGGCATATCTTCAGTTCCAACATGGTGGATCTGTATGCTCTGCTGCTTGGGCAGGTCTTGACCCTTCTGATTATCAATGGCCCCTGGAATGAGGGGACTGTGGTTGTATACCCAAGATCTTCACTGTCAGGAACTGCTGTTGGCTGAAATATCTACAGGTTCCTTGTAGAAAGTCTTGTATTAAACATCACTTTCAACTTATTTGTATAGATATTGACAAATAACCTACAGGCAAGTACTTGGTAAATAGGGGAGTAAACACTTCAGTGGATCTATTCCTGTTTTGTAGGTAAGAAGACTATGACTTGAGGAGACTGATTTTTCCAAGGTCATTAGAGCTAGCCAGAAGGGAGGGGGCCACGATTAGGAGTCAGATGTCCTAACTCCCATTTCAGTGTCTTTCCGATTCACCACCCTTCTTCTGGATGACTCGGCTTGCCAAGCTGAGGGGTTTGGAATCGTCCCCACAGGTGACATGGAGCCACAAGCATGTTCTTTGTAGAGCTACCACTTGGACAACTCTGAGGACTCACCTTGGGGTAGAAGGGGGGGTGGGTGGCAGCAATGCTTCTCGTTGTCATACTGACACACGACAGACTGTGTCAGTTCAGGCCAAAGACAAAAAACCTCAACTAAAATGGGCTACAAAGGGACACACTGGAGAGATTTTTACAAGATGAAAATCTACAATGAAGCCAAATTAGGAAGGTTGAATCGGGGAAAAGGTCAACTTAATATCATCTGCAGGTTGGGTGGCTAGGAGAGAAATGGGGGTTGAAATACAGAAAGAGGGTCCAGTCTTGGGGAAGTCACAGTAAGTTTAGAGACACACTGAGTTTGGGATAGGAAGATGTCCAGTAGAGAGGGGCTTCTCTGTGACTGGAGCTCAGGGGGATGCCATTGCCAAGAATACAGTGTGGATGTGTCCACCACAAAGGTGGTAATGGCCATGGGCGCTGTCCTGGGAGAGCATGTGGAGAAGGGGAAGTAAGGTCCAAACCCAGGGACACTGATGCTGAAGAGAGTTCCAGAGGAGCCCGTGAGAAAGTGAGAGGGAATAGTCAGGGAGTCACAGGAAAATAGCAGAGGACTCTCATGGAACCAGATAACCAGAGTCAACCTTCCTGTTCTGAGCACCAAACTATCACTCTGGGGTTCTGGGTGATCAAAGCAGCCGGAAGAAAGAGAAGCCACCTCCGTGTGTAGACATCCATTCGCTCATTCGTCACCAGAGACCTTGAACTTGCTCCATGCAGAGGAGCTGCACATAATCCCGAGGGGTGAGAAGGAGGAGTTAAGAGTCAAATGGCAAGGGGACTCAAGTGAGGGGTGTGTCACACACTTACCACGATGAGTGCCACCACAGACAGCGTGTAGTAGATTGAATCCCTCAGCAGGCACCAGGAGGAAAGAGCCACAACCTGAAGGAAAAGGGCAAAAGACAGTAAGAAACAGGATATTTGATGGTGCAAAGGAGAAAGCATGGCTCCTGGTGGCTCTGGCCAGTGATAAGCCGAGAACACAATTTAGTATTTCTGTCTCCTGTGCTAGTCCCAGTCAATCAGCCTGCCGATATGAATTTACTGAAGGTCTTTGGGCATATTAGTCTGGATCTTCTGAGAAAGGCAGATTCCAAGATGGGATTAAACCTGCAACAGTTTTGTGAGGGGAAGACACTCATGAGAGGAAATGGGGAGGGAGCCAGGGGGGAAGGTAAGAGTGCCACCCAACCACGCCTTGGGTCTGACCCCTGTGAAGGAGGGATAGAAGTTTGGGTGGACGTGTCCCAGGCTGTTGGGCAGCATGAGGAAGGCTCAGCAAAGTGGAATCAAAGACCTGTGTCTCCCAGGAACCCACCAGCCTTAGCATCCCTCATGCCAAGGGGATGGAGGAGTGACGTACCCTGTGTCCTTGTCAAGGCTCTCATGTCTGCTGCAGCTCAGGCTCATGGAATGAGCCCCAGGGCTGGGCAGCCGCTGCCCTTCCCAAGGGGCTGGGACAAGCCCAGTCTGCCGCCCTCTTCTCTCCCCTCTATTACATGTCTGTCCTTGTCGGCAACTGACTCCTTGTTTCGTCAGAATTTTTAAAACATTGATTTGCATATTTATCTGGAGAAAATGTTATTCTTAGCAGTTGGGCAATGTCCCTTTAAGGATATGATGGCTCTGCTGTGATGAGGCCAGGAGGCACATGGCCGGAGGCTACAACAGCCTTGGCCTGCTGTGTCCAGACTTCCTGCAGGAGAAGGAGGCCCCTGGGTGAGACACAGGAGGGCAACGAGCAGGGCTGGGCCATGGGGAGGAGAGGCAGCTGGCAAGTGGGGAGCTGCAGACGCCAGGTTAAGATCCCTGTTCTGGAGGAAAAGTCATTTCTCCTTGGTAAGTCCTCCCAAATCTCCTTTTGAGGGATACCTGCTATTTTTTCTTTGCTTTGTGGAGTGGGTCCATTTTGGCAGACTCTCAAAAAGAAGGGTGGAAGAGTCTGCAGAATGGGGTTGGAAGTGCTTCCTGGCTGTCACCCAGAACTCCCTCCTGCCTCCCAAGACAAGTGTCAACCACCCCTCGGCCACAGGACCTGTCTAGTTGCCTTTGCCCTTGGCCTCGTAAGTGAAGAAGGACACAGCAAATGTCAGCTGTCGGCTGGGCCAATGACAGCCACATGCTGCACCAGAGACAATAGGAAAAAGGGATTCGGGGACAAGACAACATTTGGAGCCTTTTTCTCCCTGATGACTGTATCTGTCTATAAAGAAAAGATCAGGCAAAGTCAAACCAGAAAAGGCTTTCTGGATTCAAATAACATGAAAGATAGGACTTAAATAGAACCATAAATGAGTAATGAGGTCTCCTATGAACACATTCTTCCACTTATTATAGGGACACTTAGGTATTTTTCTGTTGCTGATTTTGCCTTATTAGGTCTTGTATTTGCAGATCTAAGTTATGGATGATGGGGTTCTCAAGAAGAGAGCTCATGCCACAGAAATCACTTTAGAACGAATGTAAAGTATTCTTTGCCCTCTTATCATGCTCTCTCCTTGTACTGTATGCTCTTAGAATCCGTGGTCATCTATGGAATAGCTTACATTGGACTGGAATTGTCCATTTTCCAGCAGGTCATAAAAGGTTGTGAATATTTATTCAGTGTCTGATGATTAGGAAAATGGACTTAAAACATGTGGCAAACATCAATTCTGAATTTCCTTAAAAAAAATCACTTGGGCTTTGGGTTAAAGATAACAGACTGGAAACATACCATGACCTTTGCTCTTTCTTGTTATACCAGAACAAGATAATAGTAAAGGTTTTTTTTTTTTTTTAATTTTTTGTTATGTTAATCACCATACATTACTTTTTTTTTTTTACAAGGCATAAACCCCCAAGGAAAAGAGAGTGTATGAGCTGATCAAAGATCTTATTTATTTGTCAGAGAGGGAGAGAGAGAGTGTATGCATGAGCGAGCACAAGCAGGGGGAGTGGCAGGCAGAGGGAGAAGTCTGAGCAAGGAGCCTGACGTGGGACTTGATCCCAGGACACTGGGATCATGATCTGAGCCGAAGGCAGACGCATAACCAGCTGAACCACTCAGGCATCCCAGATGCTGGAAAGCAGAAGAATGATGGTCCACTCAGCTGGCAGTGGGCAAAGCTCTAGAAATAGGGGTGAAGCAGGGTCTGAAGATAGGATCACTGAAAGAGTATTTGAAAATGTAATCCACAAATTATCTCCCTTACTTCAAGCAGACCAGTGACTGTACCTCCCTCACCTTAACAGAAACAGGAAACCTGGCACTTGTAGACAGAATTTTCAGAAAACAGGAGAGAGAAAATAACCAAATAAATAATTTTTAAAAAATTCCCAGAAGTTAAGGATGTGCATTTTCTGAGTAAAACAGCCTCCTGAGTGTTCAGTACAATGGACCAAAAAAAAAAAAAAAATACACTGAAGCATATCATTATGAATTTTCAGAATACTGGCACAGAGAAAAAGGTCTTAGAAACCACCAGAGAGAGAAATGGGATTACATACAAAGGATCAAAACCAGAATGACATTTCACTTCTGAACAAAAGCACTGGAAACTAGAAGACAATGGAGTGATGCCTTCAAAATTAGGAAAATGATTTCAGCCTGAAATTCTGTGCCCAAACTATTCACTAAGAGCGAGAGAAGAATAAAAATAAAAGTGTAACTGTCTCAAAACCTTTACTTCCTATGTATCATTTCTCAAAAAGCTACTGGAGGACATGCCCACCAATCCTGATGCTGGACACCTGAAACTAACGTAATGTCATGCGTCAACTATATGTCATTTAAAAAACACAACTGTGTCAAAAGAATGGGAAATGGTGCTGGTGGACCGGAAGAGAGTTGTCTTTCATAATAAGCTTTTTAGAACTGGTTGCCTCTTTAAGCTCTGTACATATTAAAAATTAATTAAAGTATAATTAAATTAAAAAATAAGAAAGTATAATACAAATTATCCACTTAGATTTACTGCTACAAGAAATATACCTCGCATTAAGCCTACATGCCAACTCTGGATGAGTAGTGATTATTTTATCCTCCAGAATAGCTTTCAATCGCTGGACCATCATCAAATTTAGCTTTAGATTCAGAGCCCACACTTGAGCAAAACCAACTTTTTTCAATAGAAGCAATGAACTGGAAGACAAGTAAGAAGGAGTCAAACCAGAGAATAATTACTTTCCACACTCTAGAAGGAATTAAAGCACCACTGAGGAGCCTGACCATGACCTCCTGTCTACCTCTACCTTACGCTTCTGTGACCGCCACTCATCACAACAGCAAATATTTACCTGACACTTTCTGCAAATCCGGAGATCAGGAAGGGTTATCTCGTTCAATCCTATAGTGACCTAGTAAGGTGGGCACTGTCATCCTGCCGACCAGCAATCTGGTGGGAAGGGTTGGGATCTGAACCAGGAGGAAACCAGGGTCTCAGGCCCCTGTCTCCTCACACCATGGCACAATGCCTCACTGCAGGCAGGGATGAAAAGCAGACACCCATTTGTGATTGCCTCCCATAGAGATCATCTTTTCTCTATGACTTTGGAGATGGTAGCCAAAGGAGGGAAAAACTGCAGGTGAGAGACAAAAAAAGCAGTGACCACAGCTCAATTTAAAATATATACTGCTTTAAAGAGATTCAGGCCAAGTAATCCAAGCAGAAAGGAGTTACCATAAGGACCACAGATATGGATATGGTATGGATGTATTCCAGGAGGGAGAGAGTCTGAGAAATAAATTGGAAACTACTCTAGCTAGTTTAGTTAAAGCAAGCAAACAAATCTCAATACAGCTCGTTGTTTGGTGATTGAATGTTTCACTTTTCCACAAATTGGGGTGCATGGGGTCTAAGTGGTTCCCTTTGCTTCTCGGTGAAGGGTGTTTTATCTCTAGATGGAAGCCAGCAACCATCGGACTCTGATCCTGAACACATTTATTAGCACCTCTTCATCAAAATGGGAGCCTCTTTGTCATCTGTTGGCAGGTCTCACCCAACTCGGGGGGGGGGTACTTATGGGAGGACAGTACCTCCTTAGCACTTTGCAAAGTGGCTGCAAGGAAGACCGAGAAGTCACTCTGGTGAAGAGACCAGGACAGGGCTCCTGGGAGGAAACCAACCGTGAGTAGTTCTGCCCTTGACCTCATTAATCAATAATGCAGATGGTGCAGATTACAGAAGGCCATTGCTGGCAAACTCCCCCCATAAATTAAAGGCAGACGCTCTATTTCCCGCCTAGCTCTAAGGAATCCCTCCCAACTGAAATTTCATCTTGATATTTCTTGATCATCTTTTCTATTTCTGGAGTGCATTTCACACTTTTTCTATTAAATATGCAGCTTTAGTTTCCTTTTTATGATTTCATTTGGTTTCAGAGTGTCATAATGCCAGAAGAAAAAACACAAAAACCACCCTTCTAAAACAGAGGAAAACACATTCTCCTTTATTCAAATGTTGACTGATAATCTTCTGGAATTCTGGCTCCTTCTAGGAGGTTAAAAGTAATTGTTTATGATAAAATGGTATGTTTTCTGTATATTCCTGGATATATACTGCAAATCTATATACAGCTATTTATATACATGATAATATACACACATAGCATATACACAAACATATAGTGTAAATATATATAATGTAATACATATGATGATTTTTCTCGATGAACAGCAGAATCTGACATTGCAGACACATTTTAAAAAGGCACAAATACCCCCGACTTGTAAGCGCTTTGCCTTTTTGAAAAACTATTGAAGCAGTCAGAACAGCATAATAGTTACATGACATAAAACATACAACTAACATCTCAGAAATACTGTTATTTCACACAGATTTCACGGAAAAGGGATTTGAAAAATCATAACATGAGTTTTGTTCCAAGCTTTTGAGCTGACA